GACATTTACAAAAACATAATCATGTTCGTGTTTATTATTTTTATTAATAAAATAAAAAATTTTCTTCTTCTAGTTAACTACATTTCAGTCCCTACCAGATTCAATAATTCTTCTAATATTTTCTTATTTAACTCCACCTGATCTTATTCGTTGTTCACGTGTATGTCGTCGTTGGTATCTATTTGTTACACATAATCAACAATTATGGCGACGTCTTTTTCTACGTCCTGAATGTATGAATGGTCATATTGGTGCAATTCATGTTCGACATATTGAATCATTTATTCATTTACTTGGTACTCGTTGTGCATCATCTCTTCTCTATATTGATTTACCTGTTGAATTAATAACAATTGAAATTTTACGTGAATTAGCTCTTCGTTGTCCAAATTTAGAATATTTAACACTTGATTTTTCAACCGCAATGCAATTACATGATTTTAGTGATTTAAATGAATTTCCATATAATCTTAAACGTTTATGTATATGTTTATCAGAAGTTATTTTTCTTGAATCTTTTATGCGTCGAATTTATGGATATCTTTCATCATTACATACTATACATATTATTGGTACAATGGAAAAACCTTGTATATCACCACAAGAAGATGCAGATAATTATGAAACAATAAATATAAGTAAAATAAAAGCAAATGCACCAAATTTACGTGTTATTAATTTATATGGTATAAATTTTGTTGATGATAGTCATATTGAAGTTATTGCATCTGGTTGTATACATCTACAATGTCTTGCATTAAATTATTGTATAAAAATATGTGGAACTAGTTTTAAAAATTTAATGACTCGTTGTGGAAAATTACAATGTTTGCTATTACAAAATACGGGTGAGAATGAAAAATGAAATTTGATAAGCATAACAAAAAAATATAGAGTCTTCAACACTTCTAACTGTGCTATATGATTGATAGATTAATCATATAGTAACTCGATGAATGATATTTATTGCAAGAATCTTACGTATAGTATCATCTTATCCAAAAAAATCCTTGAAGCATAGAAAACAAAATACGTAAACTATTCTTGTATTTTGTTAATCTAATTTCTTTTTCATAAGGTCAATCATTATCGATGACATTTCATATTAACTTTGAGTTATACATACACTTTTGAAACAGATTTTAAATAACTGTATGATTAATAATTGTAGGTATTCAAGATGGACCTATGCTTGCTGTTGATTGGTCAACAACTCAACTTTCAGAATTAGATTTATCATCAACTGAGCTAAGTGAAAAAGCTCTACTTGAATTTTTTCGTATTGTACCAAAACTTACATATTTAGCAGTTCCTTTTTGTGATGGTTTTACCGATAAAGTAATACATTATATTATTTATGATTAAATATTTGATAATATTTGTATTTTTAGGTATTAAATTTATTAATTGATCTTGGTAAACTTAATGGATGTCGAGCACTTGATTTAAGTAATACAGTAAATTTAAATATTGAAACAATGTATCGTCTATTATTATCATCACCTGATATTACTCAACGACTTGAAGCATTAAGTTATACAGGTCATGCATGTATTACAGAACAATTTTGGATTGATGCTATTCGATTTCTTCATAAAATTAAGTAATGAAAAATTTTGAATAACAAGAAAAAAAGTCTTCTTTGTTTTTCTTAACTAGAATATTGATTATGGGTACAGCACATAGTTGGTTTCGACAAATATCACGTCGTATTCATATCGATCAAATATTAGATGCATGCGCAATTCATTGTCCTAATTTAAGACGTCTTGAAATTCAATGGGATCCTGAAACAGTTGGATTTAGTAGTAATTCATCGAAATTTATTGATCATTTGAGGTATTTACTCGTTGTTATTATTCTTAAAACTATTTTTTGAAAAAATAAATATTTTTTTTTAGAATACGATGTACAAATTTATTATCATTTGTTCTTTCTGATGGACCTTATTATGAAGGTACAAAAGCAAATTTCGAACGAGCTGAACGAAGTAGTGTTGTACGAACAACAACAATGTATCAAACAAGTATTATTAGTACACTCAGTTTTTATAATGAATTAAGATTTAATTAAAAGATAAAATAATTTGCTTAAATAAAATCTTATGCATACTAATAATGATCGTTTCGGTAAAATACCTGATATTCATTTTGTTGATAGATGAAAAATATAATCGAACGATATTTATCTCCACTATATAAGTTTCAAATATGTCAGTATGTTTATTGACAAATGTAATCAAGATTTAATCACTTACCATATTATGTTCCGTCATACCAGGAACAAACCCAGTCTTTTCCTGTGAAAGTATTTGTTATATTGCACCTTTTGACATCAATACTTTGAAAAACTTGCTTATCTTGTAGTTTATTATATGAACGAAATGTTAAAATATATGGAAAGTCTATCAACTAAAAGTTTAGCAAAAGAGAAGAAGTACAAATATTTCAATTTTATTAAAATAAATTTTTCATGACTAAATTTTGAATTAAATGATTAAGCATTCTTCTGGAATATAAGACACGTGTTCTTAATTGATTAAAACAAGTTGTAACTGTTAGGTATTCGATAATGCCGATGGTTACTCTTTTCGTGCTCGAGCAAAATATATAGCTGTTAGACTTCGAATATCATAAGTAGCAATATTGTAATTGTCTTACATAAATAGAAAGATAAAAAATATATATTCAAGAGAAAATCGTTACCTATGAGAATTTTGCCCATATGTATAAGACGTTGTTCATCTATTGGTATGCCTAGTTTATTGAAAATTTTGTGTTTAACTTCTATAATTGTATCTGATGGTTTTACCTAAGAATTTTTTTCAGTACAATAATCATAAATAGTCGTGTAAGAAATACTTTACCACTAAAACTATTTGTTTACCAATCTCTAGCTACAAATAAACACAATACCATAGAAAAAAGAAAAAAATCGATCATCATAATTATTTCAAAAGATATTAGTTACTTCAACAAAGATTTGAAAAGCAATTCCATTTTGAAGTGCTTCAAGTTCATTTTGTTCAACCAAAGGGTCTACTGATAACTTCTTTCTCTTAGATTCATGTTGTAATCTTAAAAAAATAAAATTTATTTCCAGTACAAGATTTTAATTAGATAATGCAGTGCACAAATAGGCACTAAAATTCGAATATGATTTTCTCGAACATAAGAAAATTATCATAAACGAAAATCATTACATAGTTACTTCTATATTACTATAAAGTACGCTCTCTTATTTATTACTCTGAATTGTATTCCGATCAATCTAATTTTCGTTCGATGATTCGTATCTATGAACGCGCTTGAGACTGATAAACGATAGTAGTTAGATAAAAATATTTTATTCTCATACGAAATTTTTTTGTATATCATAGAATAGAAATATATAATCTTACTTGTCGGAAGGATTTGATTGATTAATAGTATTTTTATCAATAACTAAAGGACGTAAATTAATCGAAATCTTTTGAAGATCATTAAAATTTTTGTCAATCAGTTCAATATCTTTGGTCAATATATCGATATTTTCACGGGTAGCTCCTTGCATTCGAATAAGTTGTTCCAGTGTATTTCGTGTTGCATGAAGTTTTTCGAGTGGTTTTGTTTTAGCATGTTCAAACAGCTCAGCTCGCATGTGTTGGTAGTATCGAGCAATTGTTTGATGAGCTGCATTGCGCCATTGTTCAAGCATTATAAAATTAGGTAAAGAAGTCGGTGTAATATGCTCCAGTTTATCCAAAACTGTATTGATTTGATTAGTTAATGGAATCAATTTTTCATTGAGACAGTCTTTGTGTTCTTTTAAATGATCGAGACATAAATCGTTTTGGCAACAGTGACACATAGCACAAGAAGCAATTTCACATGTAATAACACCACAGGGTCGAGCTGTTGTTGTTGTCATTGCTACGCGTAGTCACCTGAAAAAAATTTAAATGAGATTTAAAAAAATGTTGACAGTATAGAAATCAATTCGTTTTTCTTTTGGAAGATAAAGGGCAGTATATAAATAAATAAGGAGAATAAAGAAATGATCAGAACAATAATTGACTATCTTCGGGTTAATTACAAAGAATTTCTTACATAATATATATATATATATATATATATTATAAATGAAGTCATCGGCACTACTTACAAAAATACCAGATCAAAATCTTAGAAATCGGAAGTCGTTTGCCTGAACTGGGAAAAAATTCGGAAACCAGTTTTCAAGCTGTCCGACGCTTAAGTTAACTTTTTTCTGGTAAAAGAGCTTCTTGAACTTGATTATCCTCTTTCTAGATATTTTTCATCAATGTTAAAACAAATATATTGAACATAATACTATTGGAAAAGATCATTCTCAAGAAGAAACAGTTAATACAAGAAAAACAAATCGAAATAAACTACCTATACATCTATATATACAATTTAAAATACTTATTGAAGAAAAAACTAAAGTTCATTTATCAAAATATATTTATTCTAACAAATCTTAAATAAGATGAGATTTGAAAAAATTATTCATTCGATTGCATCTTCACTTCCTTTTTCGTTTTATCTGTCAGAATAAAATCAATGACCCAATGATCAAAGGAAAATAAAGATGGCGTAATATGATATATATCAAAATGTAGATCAAAAATTGTAATGAAAAGAAAATTTTTTAAAACTACGACTCAGAAAAACTCGGAAAAATTTCCAACAATTCGGATGATCTGGCATCTCTGACGACCTATGAGAACATAGTAGAATATTATTTTAAAGTATGCTTCTTCTCTGAACGTATTTTAATAGTAGCAAACTAAAGAAAAGAAGAAACGACGGTAACAACAACTGATTAAGGACAAAGAGGGAATTTATATATGATTATAATAAATATTCAAGTTCTTCTTTTCTTTTAGTTGACAATACGATAAATATGGAAAGAAAAAGAAATCAATCTTTTGTCTCTCTTTTGCTTATATTCGTGTATATGAATGAAACGACAGAGTTAAAAAAGTACTATGAAAATATTAAAAGGGAAAAGTTGACACCTCTAATAAAGTAAATATCATTCGAATCATATGCACGCAACATATTCAATCAAACTCCTGCTCGAATGCCTAGTGTAAAAGTGTGAAATAATATCTTTTTTATTGTTTTCATCAGATAAAAAAAATTTGAAAATTTATAAAAATAGGTGTTTGATTAAAATGAAAAAGAAATTAACGAAAAGTCTGATTGAGCTCGTTCAAACGGCGACCGAAAGGGCATCATGTAGACTAT